CTGCTGCAGAGTTGAATATTTTTGAGCAGTGGATAAAACTGTCTGATTTGGAAGGGAAGAATAGTAATCGGAAATTATCCTATTTTCCGTTCTTTCATTCTCGATAATTACATTGCAAAAAATTATTTTAAATAAATGAACTGAAACAAAATTAAATCAAAATTCAACATTTATAATCATACTCTATTTTTTCCTTGTACTTGAGTAATAATGACCTCAGGAAATGTTTAAAATGGAAGTATTTCAATGGTGTGATTAAATTTAAAAGCAACCAGTGGTTGTCGTTGAAGGTCATTCAGTAATTAGCTCTGATTACATGGAATTTTCTAACCTAATTATGTTTTCTTCCAATAATTTTTTAATATTGCAAACTTAAAGGAATTGTTTGTAAATAAGTATTGGTAATCTACCGAATTCATTAGCTGACCTTATTTGAAGCTTCCTAATAAAAAGTTTGAAAGAACAGATGGATGAATAACGTTAGTGATAATCCAGTGAGGGAATTTTAAAAACAGCTTACTTCACAAGCAGATACATTCCTTAAATTTCCATTTCTTCTTTATCATTGATTGTCATCACCTTGATTGTCATCTTAAAATTTCATTACTTCTCAACTCTCTGTTTGCAGTCAATGTTCAGAACATTTTTCATGTTTTATATAAAAGGTTCAATAAAATTTCTTCAGCAAGCAAGAACACATGGAATCTATTAAAAGCATCATTATTTTGAAGATCATTTTGTTCTAGCTGCATATTATCATTTATTCTTCTCTTTAGCTTTGGTTAAGAGCCATTCTTTTCAAATCACTGGTGTGAGTTAATCATATTGTGATTTATTTATTCGAAAATTTTTTACAATTTTTGAAACAGTTTGCATAATTCTGTATAAAATTAGTACTAGAATAAAATTAATATTTTTCTTCTAAAATACTTTTCATTTGATAGTGGTGTAAGCTGAACCTAAGCAAAATGGATGAAAAGTTTGAATTTAAGTTATAAGCCAATATACTGGGTTATAATTTCAACTTATAACCAAACACAATAATGAAAGTTTCACTGAAGCTTTGACAATAAATGGATCAATAAAATTAGCCTTGAAGCCCTCACTGTTGTGGCTTCAATTCATATATATATGAGTAATACGTAAGAATGCGGATCGGACCAGAACAGTTTTGTTCCAAAAGATGTACTAATTATTCTTGTACTACAACATTCGGTATAATTGTCAATGTTTAGCATTTAGTTTTTAATTTAGCTGGAGAGAGAGACTTGATGGAAAATGCATTTTGTTAGGAAATGAGAAATAGTTTGCCAGCCATTATAACTGTCAAGTTTTGATTATCTGCCTATAATTTGCTGCATTTGCAGGCAATGGAATTTGCGATTGATATGAATGATGGATTATGGCAGTTATTTAGGGCAAATTCCCAATTTTCAGCACATAAAGGAGCAGCGCTGCAGGAATAGTTTGTCCCTTCGTTATATGAGTTACTGTCATTAGTCTTTCGTCACATTTTTAACATATGATGGATAGAAAATCTGAAAATTAAAATATTTGGCTTCTTAAGTAGTCACAATAACATGTTAGTATCTGAAAAGCTCACAGGTTCTGCAAGTATTTGTCGTCACTTTTTGATGCAAAAGATAAAGATATTATGTTTCCATAATAACAAAAAGATAAGAAATGACGCTTGTCTACTAAGAAGAAACTAAGATTCAGAGCAAATACCATTCTATTCCATCATTTTTAGGTGAGATATTTATACTCACAATACTCATGCTCAGAACATTTATAATTTAGAAGAAGTCAAAACCTGAATTGGAACAAAATCTAATCGTTAAGTATTATAACTCATTTAAATATTGACAAATAGAGCTATCTAATTCATTTTCTTAATGCCAGATCTTTTTTGTCAAAATTTCCAAATATTTAATCAAAATCCATTTTATTCTAATATGAAAAATATGAAATGCACCATTCAATTGTGTATTTAAATTACTATAACTTCTTTTTAAATGTAATGGGTGAAATGTAAAGGAAACACTGTTTGAATTCTGAGCAAAATGAAGTAAAATTGCAAGCAAACTATTACTTTGTCATAATCTCTGTAAAGAATGAAATTAATATTGTTAGTGTAACCTAACACTTTTGAGAAATTATAAATTCTTCTGAAATTTATGGAAAATGATAAGTGTTCTTTTTTTATTTCTTATCGTTTTGTAATTTCATTTTGTTCACAACGCTAATATTTCTTTGCAATAACGAAAACACAAAAAAAAAAAAAAAAAAAACGCACAAAGGGCTTAGCATTATGAATAAGCATTATGCAAGTGGAATTATTTTACTGACTAGTACATGTTCTTTGCTCTTCATATTTTGAACAAACATTTTTAAACGCCTTGCAAAACTTCTTCATCGATTCATTGACATTCCCTAATATTTCATCCATGCATATTTTTGCAATAGTCGTTAGTGAGAATTTGTCATGCTACCTAAATGCAACTGATCAGATGATTAAAGGAAATGCTTAAATAATGCTAATTAGTCAACCATATTCACTCTTTGACTACATTTATTACTTTTTTAACTAGAAAAACCTTAATGCTGTAGTTGATAGTCTCTCTTTCAGCAGCAAACTATGTAAAATGGAGAAGTTAAAATGATGTGCCTTAATTTTGATATTCGTTTATATTCCAGCATTTTATGCAACACCAAATTTATCAAAACTTTTAAAGCTTTTCATTATTTGCATAATTTCCTGGTAATATACCTTATCGACGATTTTCTAGTAGCGTCTTTTATTTTCAGCGTCATTACGTCTACTATTACATCTATCAGTACATCACAATCCCACGGTTGAAATAAACGATTCGAGACTATTTGTCTCTTTCTCTTATTCAATATTAATTCATTAACAGAAATAATAAAGAATTTGATAATAAAGAAATAATACATCCTCAAAACATCGTTATCTATATGAAGGTGATGTAAATCGAGATACCCAATTTTGTTAAATCAAAAATTTGGTAATCCAGCCTGGTACAAATTGAAATAGAACAGAATGGATTCTTATTTCTAAATTGCTTCCTTCTGAATTAAAACACCAGCAAAAACCAATCAGTAAATGATAGTATGATAACAGAAAAATTGCATAAAAAAATGATGGCATAAGATCAAAGAAAATTTAATGAAACCGAGAACTTATAATATCTACTTGTATTTTTCACTAGCTCACCGATTTATCTCCAGCTGCTAACTGTTGTAAAATACTAAGACAAAAAGCTCTTGTTCGATTAACTAATAATTGGTATATCCTGACTGATAGCTACTTCATTCATTCCAATCTGATCAAATCGTATTTTGTTGGATCCTATGTTTTTTTTTAAAGTTCATCCTGGAAAACAAAAAAAAAAACATGATTTATAAAAAGAGATAAAAAATAACTTATTTTTTAGGCGATATCAAAAATAATATATTGGAAAAAATTTACAACTATCAATAAACAAAACCTACTTATCATATTTAGAATCTGTAAAAGCAAGAAAAGTGATCTTTTTTTCCCAGCATAATTTAAATATGTCTACTCATACTTTCTAGACTCTCAAAAATGAACTCCCCAACATTAACCAAATCTAATTTCAATATCCGATACACACAGTATATCCAAATATTCTTTTATTATCATACCTGTTTTTTGGCTAGTTAACTTTTACAAAAGAAATTATAGTTTCGTCCTACTATTGGTATTTGATTTAGATTTCTGTGTAAAAAGAATCGTGTAATTTTCACAAAACTTATCTAGAAAGTGACTTTATGCTTAAAAACTGATTTTAAATTTCATGTTATTAATTGGCTTCGGTGAAATAAGCTCACTTCATCTCATGGTAATGCAGAAAGCACTTGATTAATTTATCGTGTGGCATTAATAACTAAGGAAACATTTCTCTGCCATAAGTCCTGGAATGTGTAATAATTTTGTTTCAAACATCTATTCGTTTTACTAGCAATAGTAAGTTTCAGCCAACCTTCACAACAAACAATGAAAGTTAAACTTAAAAAGATGAACGATAGACTATATGACTCAACAATGTCATATACAAAGTGATCTGAAGAATGAGCCCTGACGACCAGTTGAAACGCAAATCATTTTGGAGCTGTTCGTAGAAAATATTAATTATTAGTTTTTTAAATAAAGACAACTTTCCCTTCTCTGAATGCTTCAACTTTCTTCGACATAATTGCTGGACTAATTTCTTTAATTACTCCTGTCATTTCTGGTTAATAATGAATATTTGACTATCACTAATTACTCGTCATTTGATTTTAGGATGATTTTTAGAAGAAGGCAAAAATATGATATGGTAACGATATTATTAACATTTAATACTATTTTGTGTACCTGCTAGTTTCACTTAATTTATACTTCTAAAATCATTTGTTGTAAAAATCATAGGATTCAATTCTAAATAACTGAATACAATGATGACAACTTTTGAGCTGGAAAAAAAATTATTTTAACAAACAAAAAAGGTAACATATTGCGGTCAAATCTAGTTGAATGCCACTCACTGTTTTGATAAAATGGTTACTTTAGGTTAAAAAGAAATTTATTTTTTACCAGGTAAATTTTGTCAGTTATAAGGTCGAAGATAGTTATTATCATAAGTTCTTTAAAAGTTGACGGAAAAGATATAAAGAAATAAATTCTGCATTTCGCCAGCTTACTTCGTTGTCAACTCTAAAATTCTAAGGAATTTTTATCGCTGTTATTTCTTCTGTAATTCATGATACTAGTGAATTGTGGTGAAATAAATCATCAAAAGCATTCGATTTATCCCTTACTTCATATTATTTCAAAGTTTCCTATCAAAGTGACCATGACGAATTGCTTAAAAAAGTAATCGGCAAGAGTTATCAAAATAAGTGATTTATGTCATTTTTTTCTTTTTTGATCCTTTTTAGTAATGAAATTGTGTGCACTATAAAATAGCATCAAATTCTTAAGGATAAATTCTTCGATAACGAATAAACGTGTGTTCTTGCATTCCATGCGTTAATGTTTCCATATCAAGACGTGCTTGCAAAGTGTTATTGTCCAGCAATGTCCATTCTCGTATTGTCTGTAAGTAAAAACTGCACAAATAGGGTATAGCATTTATGTGATATTGTGCATCAAAGAATCTAATAATTCATACTGGCACGAAGTGTTGGTTATTAAAGTCATGGTTAGATCAGCAAATTTTGTACGAAATTTCTACTATATGGAAAGTAGAAGCTTTTCAACTATGATGATTATAAGTCTGTTCCATTTAAATAATTGTTGCACGAAATGATTATTCTTTTAAACTCAAGAGCAGTTTTGAACATCAACAGGACGTTTTATAACCTTAGTACAACTGGTGAATTTTTAGGAATAGATTTAACTGAACTATCCTACTCATTAAATGTTTTGCTTGAGAATTTATTGCGTAATAAAGATGATTAGATATAAAACTTGATAATATAAGAAAACTAGCTAAATGGAAAGGTGTTAGTGCAAGATACTGCAGGTGTTCTCTTCATATGGTCATGTGAAGGGACCAATTGCTTATAATTCTTATGGTTAATCTAACAAGAAAAGAAACAGTACAGTAAAGGAGAATGTTTACCTCTATTTTACTGTACTGTACTGTTTAGTGATAAACTTTTAGTGAAATGCCAAACCATTCTTGTTTTATAATAAGATCTTCATCAATTGGAAACTCCGTGCAAGAAATTTTGATTTTTAGGAAAATTAATAGAGTAAAATTTGTATTGGATAAATGCAAATATATAATATGTGTGTGAGAAGCAAAAAAAATATCAAATGATAACAGGAGCAGATAACTGTAACTTCTTGCCACGTTCAATTAAAGTATTTCATATCAAATAAAGTTCAATTATTTAACAATTTTGAGAATAAAAAATTAAAGAGAATTAAGAACTTACTCTAAGAACTGGTAGATCTCTGCTAAAACTAATTCGTCCAATATCTTTCAAATGAAATTCAATTCGGTTTGGCTCGATGATTCCTTGTTCAACCGTTACAAAACATAAAATTTTAATTCATGAAAATTAATTCAAAATACTTGTACCTGTGTCTCCTTTCATGTTTAACAAGCAAAAATGAAACTGATTATACTCATTTCAGTATTAAGCAACAAGCATCAATGGGAACTTACCATTATTCATTACAGTAGTAAGTGAAGCAGTCCTTGTTTCAGGCTCCACTGCAATATAACCGTATTCGCTGTGCAATTCCTCATGGCCCGATAGTCCCCATGCAAAGGCTCTAAATACAGTGCGGACAAGTGGGGAAAATCTCATCCAATTTTGCTGCGATATTAATTTTGGTTCTGCCAGTAACGATATATAGTCAACTTTTGCCGGAAAATCTTTTACTAAGATTCTAACTTAGAATCTTTGATTTCAGCTTCGTGAATAATATGTTACGCTGATGCGTTACCAAGACGTCTGTGAAAATGAAAAGATATTCGATTTCGCATAAAATTATTGCAACTTTCCACAAAACATTAGGAAAAAAACACTAAAAAACACCAAAAAAAAAAGCTTACGTATAATTGAGCGCTTTCAATCCGGTCATATGATCGTCAGAAATTGATATTTCGATTTGTTCGCCATATGTAAACGTAGGTATTGTTGGGAAAATCGCTTTTCCGCCATGTTCAGATCGCCAAATGCCAATTAACCATGCGATAGGTTGTAAATGAGAAGGAACATGGGAAATATCGAATTCTGTCAAAAAAGTGAAAAAACAAAACAAATCAATGAATACTGTGCACAAGATGCATGCCTTAAATGACTTACAAATTTTGTCCTTGATAGAAAAATTTTCAAAGGATTCAAACTTGAGATAATGATGGAAATGTTTAATGAGAAATATTAACAAACCGATGCGATGAAAGAAGGATGAGCTGTAGAAGTTGTAGTTTTATAAATTTAGCACTATTGGTTAAAAAATTTTGTTCAAATATTATTTAAAAAATTGGAATGCTATATTTTTTCTATGCACCTTAAGAATAATAAGGGGAAATGAAATGTTCCAAGGATTATTCATACTTCGTTCTAGTTTTTTTACGCAGAAACCGCATGATTTGGGACATGTTTTGATGATATAATCAGTAGTTTGACATAGTGAAGCATATGACACAATCCAATCGCGGCAATTGTTATTCGAATCCTCACAATATTCACCTATACTTTTTCAAAAAATTTAAATCTTCATACGTATTCCAATTTTAATTTACTAGTCCTAAATAAATTACTCACAATTATCGGTGTGAAAAATTATTTCAGAAATGAACCGAAAGGAAGAAATGTACCGAAAGTAGTCATTAAATGTCATTTCAAACTAAACAAAGGAAACAATAAATTTAATCATTTCTATAAAATATGCTGACCTTTGAGAACATTGAGTAAGGTAGTAATACTGAAAGCCAAAAATAGCAAAACAGATTTCATGTTTCGGGAAAGAGAGAAGCAGTGGGTTATGACAGGTCACCGTTTTCTTGTTGCAAAACATCTCTTTCAAATCTTTCATCAGTAGGAAGGATGATGAATGTGACAGTGACAGTAATGACAAAGTGCCATAACCGGATTTCTAGAGTACTTTTCTCATTGCTATTTCTCAGATCGCTTTGATAACGATAACGATAAGAAAAGCAATACAATGTATTCGCTTGATATCATCATCAGCTGATAGCCAAGGGATCAAGTTCTGAGATTATTAAGGTCAGCTTCCCTTTCCCTTATCATGCGAATGGAATGCCCTAGATAAGGTTTTCATAATCAAATAAAGTATTTGAGCAAAGTAGAGATGGAATCTAGAAAAACTTGTTTTGCAATTCCAACTTCTCTTCAAGTTCACTACACATTTTTTTAGATATGAAAATGTCTTCTATGATTAAAAATTGAAAATTTGTATTACTTTTCTTCCATTTGATTATGAAATTAACAAGGAGCTGTATGGGAAGCTATGATAAAGACATCTTCAGATATATTTAAATTTCCTAATGTTGTTTTTGTAGAATCTTCCAGATTTTAAATTCTTTTAAAAATTGTTGGAGTAAATTGATTCTATAATTTATATTTTAAAAGAAATATTGTACTGGCAGTATTCATTTGAAAAAGAGTATAAAGGATACAAAATAATTGCTGATAGACTTTCTAAAAAAATAAAACGGTAGTAATTTTAAAAGCCCCTATTTAGTAGGTTGTAAATTCTGGCTTGATCCAGTTCCAGTAGTTGGCTTAATGTCGATTATTTGGTTTTTGGAAGAACAGGATTTTTTAGTTTTTAACTGTTGTTTTTATGTTATTCATTCTAATTTGATAATTAATCTGTGAATAATTTGTCAACAACAATTTGTTCTCGTTACAAATAACAGAAAATGATAGGAAGTAGCATAAAAATAACCTATGGATGTTAAGAGAGAGAAAGAGGAAAAATTGATTTAAGATTGAATTGGATGTCAACACACAATTATTTCCTGCTCGATAAGCTTTTTGATTAAAAAAACAGGAAAACAGTTGCATTAAATGACAAAGAGCTTTTCATTCTAAATGGTGGTTTTGAAGTTTATTCAACCCCTTGTAGGTATATATGTCTTTTCCATAAATTCTACTTACTTTGTCAGTTGCTTACTTTAAACTTTTCATCAGCAACCAATTTGTCACTTCATATATAAAGTTTAAATACACCAAAAATAAATGCGTTGTTGACATTTTTCGCTAGAAAATCATTTTTATTTTTTCATTGTTAGTTTGGTTAATCACTAAAAAAATTTTTTATTGTTGGTTTGATTAATTATTAACTACTATATTTATTGTAAGTAGTTCATATTTTCCGTTATTTTCCGTATTTATTGGAAGTTCTTCACTTGTTGAAAAGATTTATCGTGACATTATAAGCATTAACTGCCTAGCTATTATCAGAAATTCATTAATGAGTTTTGTTCCTTTCTATTTTCTTCAAGTTGACTAGTAGGCAGCGGAAAAGGGTAATATCATTTTGGTAAAATGATGATTGTAAATAGCATTGAAATTAATTGGGAAATTGGAAATAAACGGCAATAATGAATGGAATTGTTATCAAGCGAGAAGTAAGTAGTAGCAACAGTAATAATATAAAGGATTAAATATGAAATTGTTTGAACAATTTTTGAATTTTTTGAATAAAGTAAGAGCAATGAGGAAGGGAAAGAAAAAGCAAGCATTAGGTAGCACCTGTAATAAGGCATGATACTATAATGAAAATGTATCAGTTTGACCTAATATTTTGAGAGGTAGAATCTCTCTCTCTCGCTTTTTCTCTCTTCTTGTCTCTTAATCTCGTCCCATTTTGGGGAATGCAGAAATTTCAGTGCTTTCAGTAACGAGCAGTTACCATATGCATTGTAAGCCAAAACAAAACTCTTCCATTAAACAAGGAATTTAGAAAAAAAAGTGATAAATTGAGAGATTTTGTAATTTTGAACTTTTCAAAGAAATCGGACTATATACAATAACGATCGTAAAAGCTAAATCTGGCTATAAGAAATCAGTTAATGTTAACTTCCATGTATAGCCAACTGCAGATCAATGTGGAGCATTGAGGATTATTAGGCTTCCCTAAAGCATTTAAAGAAATGGCCGACTTCCGGTTCTTTTCCAAAATCGATTTCCTTATGCAGTGTGAAGAAAATTCAGCATTCTTGGGACATGTTAGACCTATTCAGTCTACATCAATTAAGCCCATAAACTTCACACAGATACTCCATTTTTCACCTGTTTTTACTTTAAAGCTTTGTTCACATGTAATTTGATACTTGCAAATTATTTCTGTAAGTTACATAACATGTGATGCAATTGAAGTCTGATAGTCTTCAGACTACTTTCATGCTTAAAATATTGAGTGATCAACTTTTTTGTAAAGTTTGTAAGCTTAAACAATGTTTTAAAAACTTATTTTATGCAAACACTTGATTTCAGTTGGAAACTGACATACACATACATATAAATAGTTCCCAATGGGTTTATAACCGGAATACAAAACATTGGGTTTTTATTTTCCATGTTTGTAATATGTACATGTTCTTTTCACAACAATCTAAGAATCTTTTGCTAGATCACTCGAAACTCCACTCTAAAAAGGTACTTCGATGAAATGCAAGCAGCTGGATCTGGTTGCTTTATGGATAGCTTCAAAAACTGCTTCTAGTTCTCCCTCATTCTACTGTTTTTTCGTCATATCATTAATCATGAAAGAAATAGATGATTTTTCTGCTTCGTTTTTCTTTTCATTATTGACGAATAAACTTATTAAAGTTTAATTATATTTTTAAGCTTAATTATATTTCCGTCGCTAAGTTTTAGTGAACCGAAAATGCTAAATTTTATTATTGTTGATAAGAAGTTTTACGGCGAATAAAACTCTATCATTAAAAAAAAGAATAAGATTAACAGTTTTCTCAGGAAAGTTATTATTGATCTTCTTATCACAAGATAATAAGACACTGAAATTGCTTGAAATGATGAATTGCTCTCAAAGAAAACTTGAAATGTTCATTTCATAATATTAGAACTGGTGACATTCAATACCCCGAAAAGGAAGGTAAAATGCGAAGTGTCAAAGATTTTTCAGGTAGAATTACCTGAAAAATCTTTGAAAGTGCAAAAAGAATTTATTTTTATCTAGACTCCAAACTAGTTTTTATTTTCCGTAATAAATTTCAGCCAATGGATAATTCTGGTTTAGACTTCAATGCTTTTCCTACCCATCCAGAACAATCAGTCGATTTGAATTATCGTGGGATACGAATAAAAGTGTATAAGAACGGTGATCAGTATGACGACGGAACAACAGTGGTCATTTGTCGGAAAAGATTTAAACATTGGCTTACTTTTCTTGACTTTCTTACTAAAAAATTAAATTTAATGGCTCCTGTTCACGAGTTCTATCGAACGGATGGTCTTCGAATAAGACATGTTCGTTTTGCACTAAAAATTAAAAATTACCAGTACGATTTTGTTTGAGCAACTATCAGTTATGATTATAATTGATTGTAATATCCGACTTTCTTAGATGAAAGTTTAAATCTTTTAGTAGTCAAATTAAGGTTTGTTTTGACAAAATCATTTAGCGTGGTAATAATTGAAATAACCTTTAGTGGTCCAAATCAGGACATAACTGATTAACTGAGCCATTAAACAATTAACAGTTATTTTAGAGCTTCAGATTGCAAAATTGAAATTGTTCACTTAAATACATGAATATTAGTTTTAGCTGTTAATAATTCCATAACTTTTCGTTAACAAATCATTAGAAACATTCGTTTTCTGTTTTACAGTTCGAAGAAATTGAAAACGGAGGATCATATGTAGCCGTAGCTCAAGGACCATTTCTCCACAAACCATACGGATTGCTACCTGAAGACCGTGAAGTACGCTTTATTCCTTTAAAATCGATAAAGATGAAAACATTTGAATCTTAGATAGTCTCGAATTAAACAAAAAAATTAAACAAGTTTTTTTCACCATTGCAGAAGTGGAACATCAATCCAAAATTTGAATTTCTAGAGCAGAGCACTCTAGATTCTGCTGAGTCTGTCGATATTTATCTGAAACAACGTGGTTACATTTCTCGAACCGGTCTTCCATTCCCATTTGATGGTGGTGTATGCGTTAATCACTCTTTAATGGACCTTAGACATAATCGTGATCCTTCATCTAATCTATCTACTCATAAACACCGCAATGGGCAGGTAAGCTGAATAATTCTTCAAAACTGATCGAAAGTAAGGAAAGAAGTCATTCTGATACTTTGATAGTGATATCTTAAATTTCTATGATATTATCAACCGAAACAGAAAGAATGCCATGCTTTTAGTAAAGTTTTATACTGGAAATATTGTCTATTCTAACATGATGTAAGGCATCACTGGTTTGAATATAAGAACAAAAAGAGCCTGAAATTTAGACATTGTTATAATATTAGGAGCTAAAAGGAAGTGGACTATTCAAACCTTATGAAAAGTTGAGACAATCAGATTAAGCAAAAGAAACCGTCCATGTCCAGGACATTTTTTGGTCAAATAGAGTGCTAAAATTCTAGGCTTGGCTCGAGGACTGGCTTGGAGATATGAGAATCTGATACAACATGAATCACAAGAACCAAGTTAAAATTGATTTGGACAAAATCGATTTAACCCTTGCTAACTTGTCGAACACCGATTTTTTAACAACCGATAATCCTTTTAAAGAAATGATTTAAAATATCAAATTTCCATCCACAAATAATTTTTGCTTGCTGTCATTTATTCTCAAATTTTGTGTTAGAACTATAAGATAAGTACATTTTAGTCATTAGGTAAAATAATTGGTTCCTTTTTCAGAATTAATTCTTTCTTTGCATAGTGCTTTTTTTCTATTTTATTCCCATATAAATTATCTTTTAAGTTTTGTCAAAGAGATATCAGTGATGC